TCTCTCTCTCTCTCTCTCTCTCTCCAGAACCAAGGATTAAACTCAGGCTCTTGCCCTTGTTCTACTGAGCTATCTCCCTGGCCCATCCCTCATTTTTTTTTTTTTTCCAAGACTGGGTCTCAGTGGCCAAGTTGCCCAGCCTGAGCTCAAAATTTGATCCTTCTATCTCAGCCTCCCGAGTGCTGGGCTTACAGGAATGTACCACCACGCTTGGTGTGAGTTGCTTTTATTTGCAAACCGTTATACTTTCTCTCACCCCTTAGCATTTGTGGAGACACACAATTCGCAGAGAAGCATGAGGGACTGTGTAGGGTGCCTCCACACTTTTCGGCCCGGAGACCCTCAAGCTGGGTGGCTCCCCTATCCCATCTCTTGCTCTGGCCCATGACTGATTGGCTGCACAGCACAATCTACCTCACCTGGACAGGAAAGGCACAATGGACAGTACTTTGACCCATAATTTGCCTAGATTCTCAAACTACAAATTCTAGCTGGCTCTGCTGTCCACTGAAGGTGGATTAAGTGCGTATGTCAGGTACCAGTCACTGTACTCCCCCAACATGAATTGCACCCAGGATTAGAACCTGGCCAGCAAGCTTGCTGCCTCGACAGGTCGTTGGTGCTGACAGGCTGCGGAACTCGCCTGCGCCACAGCCAACAGCGCCCTTCCCGCCCTCGTCGGCTGCGGTGTCACCGCTCATTGGCTGGCCCTATTCTTTTGTGAATGGCTCGGACTGGTGTCTGCGCTCAGATAGACCCAATAAGACGCGAGGGCGCTTTAAGAAGGCGGGTATTGCTCTGCCGCTGTCGTGTCTCAGTGGTCCAGACATTTACTTCTCTCTTGAATGGCAGGAGAAACCCGAGCCCGGCGGAACAGGTGCAGGTGTGATTTATAGTACAGCCCTGGTTTTTGCCAAGTGTTGGTGCCTTGGTGGCTAACTGAGGAGATGAGAGTAGGAGGAATGCGAACAGACACGAAGACTCTTGAGAAGGGCAGCACGCAAACCAGATCAGGCCGTGCACACCTGTTAATTCCAGCATTCTGGAGGGCTGAGTTGGAAGGATCGCAAATTCAAACCCAGCCTGGATATCCTAGAGACTTAATGAGACTTTGTCTTCAAATTTAAAAATACAGAAAAAGGGCCGGGAAGATAGCTCAGTAGAATAAACCCTTGCCTGGCAAGCGCAGTTCCTAAATTCAATCCCCAGTACCGCACAAACAAAAACAAACAAACAAACAAACAAAAAAAGAAAGAAAGAAAGAAAAGAAAAGAAAGAAAAATACAGGGCTGGTGAGATGGCTCAGTGGTCTAAAGCACCTACCTAGAACAAGCTTACCAAAGCACAGGGACCACGGTTCAATCTCCCAGCACCACATGCCAGCCCGCCCCGCCCCCTAGTGGGCTGAGCTGGCCACACACACACACACACACACACACACAAATAAACAATTAAAAAAAGAAAGAAAGAAAAGTACAGAAAAAGTTGAGAATGTAGCTCAGTGTGAAGGCCCTGGGTTCAATCCTGGTGACAGAGACGGCTTGGAATGAGTCCTGGTCCGAGAGGCAGCAAAATGCTTTAAAAAGAGAGGGAAAGACTGGCCCTGGTAGTAGTGACTAGCAACAGCTCCTGCTTATCTGGCCCTTTTCACGTACCGTTTTGTGCCTGATCTCAGAGAGGTGAAGTCATTTGTCTCAGGTCGCTCAGCAATTTTAATATGGGCGTTGCTAGAACGTGAACCTTGGTCCGGTAAGAACCCAGTCTTCAAGCTACGCTACGATTAGAAATAGGGTTGTTTTCTCAAGATGTGGAATAGCGTCTGATGTAGCCCCTACTTTACCTCATCGACAAATGAAGGTTTCAGTTTTTGGTTGGGTTTTGGACTTGGATTTGATCCTGAAGACTTGGTGCATGTTTTCAAGTCCTCAAACTTTTGACAAAATAAATTGATTTTGTAGAAAAGCATGTTTTAAAAATTAGGACTGGGGTGTAGCTCAGTGATAGATTAGGACTGGCTTGGCTTCTAAGAGGCCTCGGGTTTGATTTGGGGACTTAAACCTGTCTGAGGAGTAGGGAAATAACTGTACTGTACACCT